AGGAGCATGCCGTTGCGCTCGCAGCACATCGTGGTGGTCACAGGCATGGCGTTGTGTTCGCAGGGTGCGGATGGCGCTTTTGCTTGGCCGGTTGCATGCCAGCGTGTGCATGCAGACATGTTGCGCTGCGCGCAGGCGATGGTCGCATTGGCAGGAGGGTTCAGCATGATCTTGCGTGCCGCATGGTCCCCGCATATGTGCAGGGTCAAATTTCCTCCGTCATGTGACGGGCGTTGGCAGTGTCGTCAAGTGACGGGCGTTTTTTATTTTGGCAGTGACCTGGTTGTTAAGCGGTCGATTCGTGTGACAACCCCTCCTGGCAACCACGCTGCCCATTCTCCCTGTTCCTTATCCTCCTTCTCTCCCTCCTTGCTCGCCTGATGGCCACCCGTTTATCGGCCACGCGGCTGGGAGAGGGAATATGTTCGTCCTGAAGGACAGCACCGGGAACTTGTATCAACCCGGGCTGCGACCATGTAGCTCGCAACCCAGTTCCCTCCCTCTCTCCTCTTTCCTCCTCCTCAGTTTGACGTCCTATGCTTGCATGGCGGAGTCCCCTTCTCATCAATTCGGAAGCTGGCAGTTTTCATCATCGGGTGTTTCTCTGGAGGAAGTTTCGACGGGCGTTGGCACTGGTGGTGTTCTGGAGCACCCAGCGGTCCTCGCACAGTCATCGCAAATTGTGGTTGCTTTCGCTCAAGCGCAGGCCCTGTGGTGTCTACAGCCGCTATGGTGTACTCGAGCGCCGTGTCAGGCACTGTGCCCCAAATAATGGCCCTGTACTTCGGGACAGACGAGCGAACACGCACACATAATTATTGTATTGAACTCGATCGATCAGGCTACGAACGATGTTCAGGATTCTGGCTCCATCAAGATTCTGAAGGTTTACACGGGCTACGTAGTGCGCTCAAGCATTGTGGTGCACTGCTCTTGTGGTGTAGACGTGTTGTTAAAGCAGCAGCTGTTGTGCATGTTCACGGCTGTTGTGCGTTCACGTACGCTGTGATGTACCCAGATGATATTGGTGCTGCAGCTTATAGTGTGCAAAGTTTCTCGGTGCTCGGAGCCTTTGATGCTTACATATACAGGGTGTTGCTCGCAGGAGTTGTGGTGTGTACAGGCAGCGTTGTGTAAGCACGCACTGTACTGCACACAGGCATTGTGGTGTGCGCAAGCATTGTTGTGCACGCAGACTGTGGGATGCACAGGGACGTTGTGCTGTACACCGGCACTGAGGTGTACACTGGCATTTTTGCTAACACCAGCCCACTGGTACAGCGGGAATGCGGTGCACGCAGGAATTGAGGTGTATACAAACACTGTGTTGCATCGAGGAGGTCCATCCGCGAGCATGTTGTGGCGCGCACGGGCGATAAGTCCGCTGCTAGTTGCAAGTCTCAACAAGCCCCTGCACCGTGCCCAGGCCACCCCTGCCACATCCCTATACACCTGCATGCCAATCCCAACTGCCCGTGGCTATTCCTGGGCATTCCCTGACGGCGCAAACGCCACACGTGACGTTACAAAAGGGGGGGGCGGTTCCTGTCACGGCCGCTATCGCGGGGAGTTCAAAAGCAGGCTCCTGGGGCACACATCGACAACAGACATGACATCAAATGGGTCCTTCGGGTCTTGGCCCCGGCCTCCCACCCCCTTGCATCCTTCTCGCGCCACGTTTCCGTTGCGGTATGCGCGGGGCCGTGCACAGTTATAAGATCGTGGTGGCGCTGGCAGACCATGTACTGCTCGCGCGCATGTATGGAACTGCCGCAGTCTGGCACACTGTTGCGCTCAGCGTGGCGCGCGGAAAGCTGTTCTGATCTTGACAGGGTCAATGTGTCCTCGCCTCGCCGCTCGGTGGTTACAATCACGCGCGATGCTCGCGGGCAAATTGTCGTGCGCGCAGGCGCTACGTCCGACGTCCGACCCCTGCTATCTGATAGCGGTACGCGCGAGTACTGCGCCAGCGCCAGGGGCACACAGGAGGTATGGCCATCAACCCATGTTATACTTGAAAGTTTCGTGCAGTTACATACGGATGGAAGGTCTTCCCTTGTCAAATACCATTTGCGTTTGGATGTTCCTTGAGCTTTGCGGTTGGACACGGGCAGTTGTGCAACTTTTACGAGGATGGGGCGCGCAGCTTCGCTTCAATTTGGGACCCTCGCTTGTTTGTATTTCCCTTCGGCTCCACGGCCACACGTGCAATCGGGCGAACCATTGGCACTGGCTGAAGGCGGCTCGTTTTCAAGGTGGGGCTCGCGCTGCACACCTCCATGAATGTCATGATGCGACTTCGTCGCCGTCCTGAGATTCAGTAGCGTGGATAGCAGCTCCTTTTCAGAACGGGGCCTTCGCCGGACTTGCATGGCCATGGGGCGCTCGTCTTTCAGTGGGGCACTTCCGCCGGTAAAGGGAATTCCCGCAGGCGCTGGTGGCAAGGATGGGACGGGGTGGGCGCATCGCAGCAGTGTTGATGCATCCTGGGTTGACTCCGTCCTCGTGCTACGCCTCTCCCCCCACACCCAGCCCCTCCGCATCCATGGAGGATGGCGACATGCAGGAGCGTCTGATCGTAAGGGCAATGAGGAGGAGCGGGGGAGCTGCGAGGCGACCAGCGGCTGGTCGACGCCACACCATCGGCCTCGACGCGGACGGGGTTGACGCAAAACGCGGGGAAGTAGGTTGCCCCGTCGGGATGGGGAGGAGCAGCAGGAGCAAGGGCGCAGATGATTCTATGTTTGGGAAGGGATGAGGTGGGATGGATGCAAGGATGATTGTGCGGAAGGGGCAAATCATTCGCGCGTTGCTTGCCACCAGCGCCCCTACCAGACGCTACGGGCCGTCCCCGAGCCCAGCCATAGTAGGTTATGCTATGTAGCCCTGAGGGCCTACCGAAACTGTAGCTGAGAACGTGCTGCTCCAGCTACTT